TTGTCTGAATTAACTTATTTAATTATATATATAATTGTGTGTGTGTATATATTTATTCCTAGATTCGTGTTCCAGACGATATAATCTCACTTTACTTCACCTATCATTCGAATGTTTATTCAGCGGTGGCGGCCTAAATCAAATCAAAGAAGTTTTGATATTTATTTTATTTTGCTTTAGCACATGTTATGCAGCAATCAGTTTATTTTCAACAGCTTCAAAATTTACCCTTGTGATTCTTGTGTTTAACAAATGACGATATATTTCACTATGTATAACGCACACTCATTTGTAAGTAAATTTATAAATAAATACTTACAATAATACAATAATAGTAATAAGGAAGTGATAGAAATATCCGTGCCAATTTTCAAACTTTAGAAATTTTGAAAATGTAATTGGTATGTCATGTATGAGTATGATTAACATGGTATATAATTTAATAATAGATAATCTTAGCTAGTCTTCTCTCTTTTATTATCAAAAGTATATGCATACCAACAAAAATTTCTAAGAAAATTATTATAAGATTCCCCGAAATTCGCAATTCGGCCCAAGACATAATCATGTTGAATATGTCCACGCTCGTTTTATCTTCAAATATGTTGAGATATAAATATAACGCTCTCGTATTAATAATGTTTATATTATTATATATTTATTAATATCTAAATATGACTTCACACAAACAGGCCTAGTTCTAATTACAAGTTTGTTTATACAAAAGCGATATATATATATAGACTGGCAAAACATAATATAACGCGTTTGGTTTCGCATAAATATATTTACATAAACACATGTATACATGTTTTATTTACATACATTCTATACTATGAGATCAAAGATGTAATTGATTAAAAATCTAGTCAAAAAATGCCTAAGTAAAAAGGATTTTTTTAATTTACTTAGACATTTTTTTTCTTGGGATTGCTCTAGTATTTAGCCTTCACACTATTTTAATGATACCAATTTTTCCATATTTTACATATTTTTATATTCTAATCTATTTTTATACTATATGTGATGATAAGCATTCCTATCATAATTTGTAATTATATATTTTGAAATTATGAATTGAATATATGCTACATTTATATGAAGTATAATGGCAAATTTGTATCCATAATATAATTATTATTTATTTATTTATTTATTTATTTATTAAATAATGTATATTATAATTTGATATTTCATAAGTATTTTTCCAGGAACAAATAAAGAAGATGAGAGAGTAGACATTGGATTTGGCATGATATTTGTATAAACTACATGATTAATTGTACAAGTGTTTGAGAATTTATCTGATGGATAAACTATTATAAAGATAAACTATTATAAAGAAAACAAGAACAAGTTCTACTGATATGTAGCATTAAAATAATACAATTTACAATTACTGATAAACCAATTCCACATGCATGCATTAATTTATAATGGAACAAATTCTACTAACTAGGTAATCAGAATCACTAGGAACCACTAAGTTTATTAATTGTTTTTTACATTTTTTATAAACAATAATAATAGTTTTGATATAAATATATTAACTCAATTATTATTATAATTAATTTCTAATAGTCATGTGAAGAACGACAATTTTTAATTTGCCTTTTCCTTAGATAAATAAATTTTCTTAGGTAAATTACTATGACAATCGTATCGTATAATCGTATAATCGTATAGTAGGATTTTGATATATCATCGTAATAGTTTCATAATTATTAGTTTTATTTTATTGTATTGTATTTCTTTACAGTATTGTAATTTACAGATTTAAATGTATAAAAGAAAGAAATATTTAAAATAATTTATAATGGGTAGTTTCAAACATTGTGAATATAATAATGTTTGCATTTCACAAATATTCCTTTGCAAGTTCTAATGCACTGTCTTATAATTAGAAAATCAAAGATTATAGAAATATCTTGATCACATAGAAAATACTTTATAAATTAGAGACTATTTATACCAATTTTTTTAATATATTAAGTAATTCTATTAAAAAAAATGCATCAAACTTGCGAAGGAATATAAAACTATTAACATTCTTTTTGGAAATTATGAAAATGCTAAATTTTTCAAGTTATATAAGATTTTCATTTCTATATTTTTATTATAAAGAATAATATTCATTCTTACAAATTATTTAGATTATTGTTACTATTTTGTCTTTATAATTATTATGTTTATTAATTTATATTAACATTTTAGTTTACCAAAAGAAAATAAAAGAGCATTACTGCACGGATATAATTATGAAAAGAAAAGAAAACTGGTTGGGATGCCTATTGAGAGCAGAATACGACATGATAACAATCAATGATAAATTATAGAAGTATATGTTTAAAAAAAAGCATTATATATTTGCAATTTATTATGGTCAATAAGGGTAAGAATAGTTTACATAAGAAAATATAGTAAATTTAAGATCAGATTCATTAAAAGTATAGTTAGAGAATTTTTTAAAACTTTGTAAATCAAAGAACATTACTGGAAATTACTGGATTCATCTTAAGAGCAAAATGCCTTTTGCACGATAACAATCTATGATAAATTTCAGAAGTATATTTTTAAAAAAAGCATTATTTGAAATTTGTTATTATGGACAATAAGGGTAAGAATAGTTTACTTAGTTTTCTATTAAGTGCGTATTCATGTTCTTTATTAGGAAAAAAAAGGAAATTTAAGATCCGATTCCTTGAAAGTACAGTTAGAGAATTTTTTAAAACTTTGTAAATCAAAGAACATTACTGGATATGATTATAAAAAGAAAGGGAAACTGGTTCAGACACATCTTAACGCAGAGTGCCTTTTGCACGACTAGATCAAACACTAATTTTTAGGAAAAATAGTTAATGGACAAATTACTCTATAAAAGAAAATTGGGCAAAATGAAAGTTTAATAAAATTAAAGAGAATAAAATATTTAGAATTATTTATGTTCAAATTGAAATTATAACTTAATATTGCCAATATATTTTTAGATCAGGTTAAAGATTTAGTTGTTCCTTTTTATCCTTCCCATGCGTAAGCTTTTATAAAAGTAATATAAAAAAACTGTTGAATCTAACTTAAAATCAACAATAGGGTAGAACAGGGCTTAGATCCGCACGTAAAAAGGTCCACCATCGATATCCCAAAAACAAGTAAAATTAAGAAGTTTTTACCAACAATATTTTAAAGTAGAGGGTAAAAGATGTATAACTAGTCGTCACCTCGATTTTTACTACGATAGAGTCTACTAAATGGCAATAGAGTCTACTAAATGGAAATAGAGTTACATATGAAAGAAAAGCATTGCAAAAAAAATAAAATGGGAAAGCAGAAATTAATCGAAATATGGAAATTTTAAAAAAATATATAAAAAATGTTTGTAATCATAATATATAGTGATACAACAATTCACTAATCAATTGTACAAGAGGTATGCAAATCCAGAACCTATCTTTGAGCAGTATACATTTATACATATTTACCTTTGTATATATATATATATATATATATATATATATATATATGTATATATATACATACATATATACAAACGTCGGACAAGTATAAATAAATATTTACTTGCTCACATGAAAGAAGATGCGGTTAACCGAAATCAAAAAATGCTTTTGACTTTTCAGTTCTGATGATCAGTCGATAGTTTGTCTTTGACAAAGACACATCCTTAGAATTTATTGTAGGATGATCATAAAAATTTAAAGTATTAAAAATAATTCTAGTCCTATAGTGATTAACTATATGAATTAACATTATTCACATTTTGTGATGAACAGACAAATTAAAAATTAACGTTTGATATATAATTATTAAAATACAACAATAATAACAATTTTAATAGTTAGAAGTGATTATATAAAATCTAGAGTGTTATTGATATTTGCACAAATATTAGTGCAAATTAAGAAAAATAATTATACATAATTAATATTGGTTGATAGTTATTATTATTTGATAGTTAACAATTAGGAAATATTGCTAGTTTTATATCAATTTGTTTTAAAATGTATAAGAAGTGAATGTTTAAAAATAGTGTGTAGAATTTAATATTTTGGTAGTACTGAAAATTATAAAATCGAGTGGGTTGTTTAAAAATGATCTAAAGTTTAATATAAAACAAAAAAGTGTTGAAAAATTATTTCAATTATTATTGATAAATATTTATAAAATATTCAATATATAAAGCATTAAATCAATAATTAGAAATATTTCAAATTCTGTATCTATTAAAATAAATTAGAAAATGTATCTATTATAAGTACTATTAAATCAATTGGATATTACCATGTCGGCAGAAAATCAAATTCCAAATAGTTCATTAAATATAAGTGATATTAAGATGACTACAGATTCACAAAATTTAGACAAACATTTTATAAGTAATAATACATCAAATAAAATACGTGTTAACAAAAACCTAATTGAGAATTTGAACAAAAGTCCAGCATCAGTAAATGCAAACGATTCTTCTATGTATAATTTTTCCACTGAAAATCTGGTGAAACCAAACGCATTTTATATGGAATATTTAGATGCTTTGAGAATAATGGACGATGTTAAAAGAACTTCGATTATTGATCCAAATTATTTTAATTATTTACAAGCAACTTCTTATTTGCATAGACAACCGACACCAAATTTGCCTGCAAATGAAGTCTTAAAATGTGGTACTAGGCAGGAACAAAGAGTTCCTGGTGAATTGGACGTAGAGATGAGAGAAGAATATAATATGAATAAGATTGATAACTTTAGGATTTTATGTGATGTGAAACCAAAAATTGAAGGAGATGTCCCGAAACATCCTTTTCTGAACCATTCTACAGATGTTGGTAAAATCAATCCTGGATCTAATTTACCGAAATGTACATCACTTCATGATTACTACGCTCTGAGTAATCCTGAATTTGGACAAACTGTTTTTCCAACACCTTTCGACCATTTTTTCTAAAAAGCATCCACAAAGTGTAAATGGGCTCATTAATGATGATATGGTAAATAAATATTTAAGGTTGTATCCTAATTTACCAATTAATCACAATTTGCCAACAACTGGTATTTTTCCCAATCATGTATACCAAAATGAGGCATTTTCCTACCCGTTTGGATATATGAACATACCAGGGATGAATTTTCGAGCTGGATTTGAGGATTTTCATATGAAACATGAAAAACCACCTTATTCTTATATTGCATTAATAGCTATGGCTATTGCAAGTTCTCCACAAAAGAAGTTAACTCTTAATGGAATATACAGATTTATTATGGAAAGGTAAAAATTATTACAATAAATAGTTAGCACTTACACTTAGATTTATTATTATAGTTCATTAATATATTTTATTTTTTAGATTCCCTTATTACCGGACAAACCGCCAAGGATGGCAAAATTCAATAAGGCACAATTTGTCTTTGAACGACTGCTTCATCAAAATACCCAGAGTGAACAGGAATATAGAAATTGATACAAAAAATGTAGACAAGGACTTATTAACTAATTCTAATGGAGATCTGGATACTAATAATGATTTAACAAAAGCTGGAATTAGTGGGCACATCCAGTTGCAGGAGCTTGGTGTTCGAATTTTGATAAAACTGGTGGAACCGTAGGTAAGGGTCAGGATTTATAATTTGGATAAGATTAATTGCTTTAGTTCTTCTTAATAGGACTGAAGTGTAATATATATTAAATATACTAAGTTTTTATTACTAAAAATTACTAAAATAAAATAGAATGTAAATGAAATAGCTAAATTATTTTTATTAATCTTTCAAACGTCTTTTATGCGTTTTGATGTTTGTTCATTGTTTGATAGGCATGAATGCGTTTTTTTAAATTATTTTTTATCTTTTTTTATCCATATAAGTTCTATATAATTTCTAAAATTTTTATATAACATAAACTATATTAATTCAAGTATATGGTGAACTAATTTGTTTATTTTGGTATTGAATTTATTTAATTATTTAAATAATAGTATATATTTTAATAGTTAAATAATTTAATTATTTAAATAATAGTATATATTTTAATAGTTAAAAAATTTAATTATTCAAATAATAGTATATATTTTAATAGTTAAATAATTAAATAAATTCAATACCAAAATAAACAAATTAGTTCACCTAACTTGATATTGTAATAAGTTGTTTATAATTAATATTTAATATAGAAGAATTAATATAGTTTATGTTATATAAACTTTTAGAAATTATATAGAACTTATATAGATAAAAAATAATTTTAAAATGTTAAATCTTCAGGCATTGTCAAAGATTTTTAAAATTGATATATTTAAATGTAACGTCGAATTTATTTGAATATATCAATTTTCTCTGACAATGTCTGAAGATTTATCATTTTTAAATTATTCTTTATCTTTTTTTCCTACAGTTTTACTTATTGTCCTTTTCAGGACGCTTGTAAAAATTACTATAGAATATAAAAAAAAGTTTATGTTATCTACTGAATACAATTATTTTTTTATTGAGACTTCATAGAATTTAATTTATATTATTTTTATTTAGGTAAGGGCAGTTATTGGACATTGGACCCAGCGGCAATAGATATGTTTGAAAAAGGAAATTACAGACGTCGAAAAACCAAAAAACAGCGAGAAAAGCAAAAATCGAATCAAGGATTATGCAATCCACAGGTATAATATACAAACTATTATTTAGATTATTTAAATTATAATCTTTTATTAATTTAATAGACTTCAGAAGCGTCTGGAGTTACATCAACAAGCAAGGATGATCTCCAAGGATTCGGTGAGAAACAAGATGACCTTAGAATTGAACCAAAGATTAGTAATACTAGTACAAAAACATTAATAAAAAGTAATTTTTTAATAGAAAATTTAATGAAAGACTGACATTTATTTATGGAAGGCAATTTGTTGAACGTCTTTGAAATTAATGCATTTAAATTAGTTATTTATAAGTGTTGATTATATTTTTAATTATTCAAATAAGAAACTACAGCCAAAGATGTTATGTATTTTAAGTTATTTATTACTATAAAAATAATTTTATTTTGGATTATCCTAATATAAATTATATTAAAAGTATAGTACAATAGCAATACATATATTTTTAATAGATTATTAATAAACTTTCATTCAAAACACCAATATAAATTACTATTAAAAAATGTATTGAATTTGCAAATTGTAGTGATCAAATTGTAGTACTTACATAATTTTAATTTCCTGTATTTGTTACACATAATTATTAATATTTTTAACATTTTCATTACATATTATTATTATTTTTTAATTACTTAGGTACTTTATTATAACCTTAATTCACAATATTAACTCACTGCAAATTTATAAAATGCTTACAGAACACCATAACAATAAATACTATACAAGCGCCATATATATCGGACAATACAATCTTTGAAAATCGATCAGGGCCGCCTTCTGAATTTGAAATATTAATAATAAAACATATATATATATATATATATATATATATATATATAAAAATTAAATATTCATATATAATATATATAAAAATTTAATTAATAAAAATGTATTAAACTGAATTTTTGTGTTTGTTTCTCATTTTATGAGAATGTTATATTATGAATAAAATAAAAATATACTCTTTACCAAAATTGTTTTAATTAATAAATAAATATTTAATTATCATATTAATCTAAACTGTTTCAAATAATAATAAAAAACTATTTATGTTTTGTTTTTTATTGAAATAAATAAATAACTTTCTAACAGGTAGCATTCATTAGTAAACTATTAATTTGATTTCCTTAATTACTTCAGTAGTATAGTAATGAAAAAATATCAATTTATATACTATAGTTCATTCCACAACAATTTCTCAAGTAATAATCATGTATTTAATTTATTTAAATATTCAAAACAATCCTCTTGAATTTTACAAACCTCCCCTGTACTTGTTATGTGTTGTTCGAATTTTTGTTCCACGCAAAAAGCTTCTGTTCGCCTGATACATGACGCCGTGATATATTCACGGTCCCTTGGCGGTAGCAAGATCGTGTCTGTTCCCCTGGTAGAAATCGGCTCTCCGAAAGGCAAAAAGTTAGCAAATTTTCGTTTTCGGACGATAGAAAAATTCGAGGATTTCAATGGCGACTTGTTACGACTAGATGCATATAGTAAGACGCATTAATTTATTAATCAACTGTCTATCAATGCATGGATATATATGTATTCATGGTTTTCCACTCAAATCAAAATACATACACACAGATATATATATATATATATATATATATATATTATATATATAATATATAGATATTTATTTTATTATATGAATTACTATTGCATGAATACATACCTTTTTTCAGCCACCACCCTTCAGATTAAGATAAAATAAATTAAATTAAAAGAGTTTTATTGATATTTAAATTAAAATTTTGTGAAAAACAAATTTACATTTTCTCCTGAAAAAAAAACTTCTGGAAATAAATATCAAAACAAAAATCCAAGTGCACAATGGGTTTATTATGAGCGAATCTACAAAAAATGACTATATAAGTGTATATAGAAAGACTTAATAATATAATCTGTACATATAAAAAAGGGCTTAAGATATAGATTACACATTTAATGTCACACGAAGATGATTCTAGCTCTGCAATAGTTCTAAATAAATTGAGAAATAATCTCGAAAATTAATAAAACTATGTAGTGACTAAAATATTGTTATACTTTGGTATTGTGTTATTTGTATAGAAAAACAAATTATTGAGTGTAAGAAAAATCAAAAACTTTAATGAACACAATACCAATACAAACAATATTATTATAAAATTAGGGAAAAGCTCTCAAAGAAACAATAAAATTTAAAACATTGCAATAAATTTCCCAGATAAATTTATCAATTTGCCATTTAAAAATATCAGTAATATTAATTTTAATATTTGAAACATAAAAGTGATGTTTGTCATATTAAAAAATATTTCTACATCCTTCTAGGCAATAAATTTATCAAAAATATTTATTACAATGTCAAAAAACGTTACTGCTCCAGCCGAGAATATAATTTGATTTGAATAAAATCCATTTTGGGTATTAAAACCATCCTTGAACCTAATTATACTGGCCCAAATTGTCTACATAAAATCATTACTAAAAAGAATTTTATTAAAGTTGAAAACCCAATTTGATAAAATAATAGATATATACAATTGTTAAAATCTAATGAAATTGCAGGCTGCTTTACCATATACATATATATACAATGTCCCTACAAAAATAGTATAAATAATATTCTTAAAAGCGAAAACCTAAAAAGTCTTTTGGTTCATTTCAAATACACTAAATATACTCTAGCCAAATATTCTATTAAAATATTAAACATTACATATATCCACATCTGACAAATATATGTACGTCGGAAGTAAAGGAAATCGTGGACGTGTGTGGTACATTTTTAGTTAACGCTAGACAATCCTTCTATATGAAATCACAGTAATATATTTTTTCCTACTGTTGTACTAAATCGCTATTTATCATAATAATTATCAAATACAATTGGTTAAGGCTTAATGAATGTACGGGTTGTATAGTCATACATAATTTGTGTCTAAGATATACTAGGTGTTGGCTCTTACGACCTACAGTTCTGGATAATTAAAACATTAAACCAAATCAAGCATCTTCTGTGTTCGAGGTATAAAAAGCAATTATAAATGATTTTATAATTTATTTACTGTTGCAGCATTAGATACTGAAATAAATTTGATTGATGTTTATCTTGAATTTAAATTAAATCAATTATCGTTTACAATTGGTTATCCAGAACTTATAGAATCATACTAATATACAATCTTTTCACATAACACGTTACTTTTTTTCAATAGATATTCTTTAATATATACACAACTAGATACTATATTTTTGTGAAACTTCATTCATTTTACAATTAGGAGAAAATTAATGTGCTTCCATACAATTACCATATTAACATTCAGAATTACCAAAATCTAATACAAATCTATAAGTAGATATATATATATATATATATATATATATATATATATCTACATCTTATATTCAAAGTTGGCTACAAATTTTTAATGTAACTTAGGGTTTTCAACAACTCTAAACATACATTTGTTTATATATAAGACACATTAATTATTATATTTAAATGTATTGTGTTTCTCACATAGGTATATTAATTAGTATATGCACCTCAAAGTAATTGAAATAAAGCTAAATTTATAAACATTTACATATGTAAAGTATGAACACAAAAACTAAAGTTATATCAATCAATTACCAAAGCAAACTATCGAGACATTATTACTGTGAAGACAAAATTATTATTGTCTTGCACTTAGGAGTTGGTTTGATATAACTTTATAATGAGAAATCAATATAATATGATGATTTTAAATTGAATTTTCCGCAATTACTGTTGCATACACTATTGCTGGTTTAATTTATAGGCTATAGTGATAAGTGATTAATTAATTTCATCTAGATAATCTTCAAATTAAATATCTTCATTACAACACACAACGATGAAAGCGACATGTTTATGTTCTGTAGTTGAATCTATTGTATAAGTTTATCAATCTAATTATAAATATTATTGATACTGATTGATGTATTAGAAACTTGACATTAAGACGAATTGGCTTTTAACAATTGATTATTGTATAATATGTGAAACGTTAAATTATTTACTATTCGGTTATTGTAAAAAGGCATACTATATATTTACTTTTAGCAAGATAATTGAAAATCGTTCGAGGTTAAAATTAATTTAAATCCAAAACCTGATAATTATCAACATTATTTTTAATTTTACTATATATATTGTATTATTTTTGAAGCCCGTATTCTGTTTCTCTTATATACACTTAAAATTTCATTACTTCTATTAAATTTATTAAATTTATTCAAGCCTGTCACCGTGTAATAATATATATTTGAGAAATAAAAGTGCAAATACAGCATTTTCATAGTGAAAATCAAAGAACTTACGTTGTTTTAAAAATTCTGTATCAAAATTCAACATTTAAACTATGATAATGCCCGTAATCATCCAATATATGTGACAAGGTCTTAACAAGCAAAGATTTTTTTGTTAAACATCACATTAACACTTTTAATTTGAAATATTCTGATAAATATTTAAGAACAATAATTTTTAGCAACAATACTTTACATAGAATCACTACATAATGGATATTTGCATAAGATATAATTTTGTGCGATTATATAGAAAATATTTTATCGTTTCGGGGTAAGATATATATCAGCTACATTGGTCTATTCTGGAGATATTTTTTTATCTATATACATATATAATAGATTTACTAAACATTGTTAAATAAATGACCTATTTTTGAGATCTTAATAATGTTAAATTTTAAAGAAAGCATTTGAAGATTATAGTAAGACAGTAAAGCAATGTCACATAAATAAATATTTAGTAATAACTATCTTTTTCCTCTGAGCCTTTTTAAAAAAAATAAATTCACCATTTTGAAGGCTCTAGTGGAGTCTCGTAAATTGCAATCTAAATGTTAAACATTTGTAACTAATGTTAATCAATGACTTCCAATAAATAATGTAAAGATAAAACATAATGATGCAAAAGTTATTAAAAAATATTTGTTCGTGACATTGTTGTCTTCTAGACTCAGAAGATTTAATAGTATATTTTTAAACGCTTTTCTGGTACATGCTGAATATATTTATTATATTACACATAAAACTAATTCAGACATTATATTTAATATATCTTGACCAAAAATTGTCCATAAGCTACTTGCAATGTTGTAACTGATATTATTAAAAATGATTTTATTAATTTAGCTCATAGACATTTTAAAATCAGTCTCTATCTTATTAACATATGCTAATGTTACATTTAATGGACATCTACCATATAGGCCATAAAAAAATCACAATAGCTTTGCAATAAAATGAACAACTTTATATATTCAATGTGACATTTATAATTAGACACTTATTATTTTTTATGTTTTTTTTAAACCTGGTATTCAGAAGGATGATAATAAAGAATAATTATTTTTATGAATGACTTATAATTAATAGCTAAAATTAATAATGCACTAGTACAAATAATATATATTTTCTTTAAAAAAATAAATTAAACGCAAGTATTCTATCATCCTGATGAAAACCAGATTATATCCAATTTTGTCATCATTTGATACATACAAATAATACAAATATATTTACTATTTTATTGTTTTTTTACGAGTTTATGAGTTTATGGTGATAAAACATTATTTCTCAGTTCCTATTATTTTCAAATTTACTGACCACTATGGAAATTAAAATGCATTACACACACCAGCTTTTCGACATTTACATACATTCAATTATATATATATATATATATATATATATATATATGTTAATAAAACTAAAGGTAAATTGCAGAACATATTAAGCTAATCATATAAAACTACTACGTACAAAATAATTTCGAAAATTTTAATTAGTAATGTGTATCAATGTATCATAGTAAAAAATATAAATATCTACAAAGATACACCAGTTAATATAATATATGTACACACTCAATTGTATATATATATATATATATATATATATATATATAATGTAATAATTTCCCACCGTCCTGGTAGAAAATGATATCTTAAGCTAAATGAATTATCAAACTATATTTTATACTATACAACTATTCAAGGGAGTTATATATTTTCCATAATTATTTGTTATGATTTATGCAATAATATAAGATATATGCACACATGTGCAATTTGTGTTATACAATAAAACCAAATATTTATTATTTTCCAAATATAGATCTATAAGCAAATTTTTGTGTCAAGCCCCGTCAAAATATTTAATCATTACTTTAAATATGTACGTAACACTAAAAATGTTAAGAAGTCACATCGATTTATATTAAATACTACAAATTTGACACTGAGGATTACACGGCAGTGAATCAAAAAATGTTGCTGTCGAAATAACAATAATTAGTTGAAAATTGAATTTACACAACACTAATCGATCAGAATAAAACGCAAATGTGGCACAATCATGCTATTACAAATCCTCTACGATATTTAATATATAAACTATATGCGTTATTATAATTTTATTTAATATGAGGTAAGATTGGTTAATGTTGATAAAATGGTTTACTGCCTTTTTGCTTGACTCGCTTCTTAAGTCGTTAAATACCTCATTTAAATATTCATGAAGTCTTATAATAGCTTATCCGATCATTTTTGACACACTATTATTTAAGTCATCAGTCTTTTCATCACACCTTCATTAGGGTAAAAATTATATTCAAAAATTTACTCAAATATGTCAACATCAATTTATAGTTGATTATAAAATACAATTACATACGAATATAGTGATCTAAATTAGACCAGAAATTTCTCGTGTTTAACAAAAATAACTTGTTCAAGATAAACGAATGTAATTATCGATTGTAATTGATGTTAAAATGAATTGGATTCAAAATTGTGATAGTGCTGATTGTTTAAAAATAAAATAATTGTGTTCAGTAACATGCACATAAAAAGCATAGATATATTGATCTTGAGTATGTGAAAAAATTGCAATTCTCTAATTGCAAGGTGCCATTCACAAAACTCTAGATCAAAATAACATTGCCATTATACTTTCCACAATAATATTTAGATTTGAAAATGCAAAACATTGGTATTATTACTACTTTGCGATTCTCCGTTTGCCCTAAGATTTATCTCAAAACTTAATTCCATAAAGGCAGTTTAAATTGAAATCATACCACGCACACTTAACATTAAATTGTTTGGCTTATAATTAAACTAAATATTTGCAGTAGTGTTCAATTTTCAAAAAATCGTATGCCAAAGAGTAAAACATATAAGTTTTGCTAGTACAGCCATTTTTGTTATGAAGGGTATACATTTAACCAGACATCATTTAATATCGCACATCGATTTCCGAAAAGAAGCTACATTGTCGCACACTACATATATGTAACTATCAGTCATTTAAACTTCACTTTAGAATAATTTAGATCTAACGAATGCCCAACACTGGATACTCCAATTCCAATACACCAATCCAAAATGTGATGGATACTTATATGATAATTGAAATATGAGTATTGATCACAATATTTAGACATCGAATCCATCAATTTCGCTTACCGAAGAATAAAACAGGTCTTGGTATTATTTAATGACACAAATCACATTATTCTTCAGCTTTAGAACGACTGGATACTCCAATTCCAATACACCAATCCAAAATGTGATGGATACTCATATGATAATTGAAATATGAGTATTGATCACAATATTTAGACATCGAATCCATCAATTTCGCTTACCGAAGAATAAAACAGGTCTTGGTATTATTTAATGAACAAAATCACATTATTCTTCAGCGGGTTTCTGTGTCAGTCCCATTGATGGTTCGAAGGTGGTTGCTCGGAGGGATGCGCCACTGTTGAGCTGAAAGGGTAAATGAAGAATATAAATCTTGCTGGAAGATAAGGGGGCTACGAAATGGCATGCTCGATTGCCAGTTCCAGAATTTACTACACCGAAGATTTATGGATAATTCGGTGTAAAAAGTATCTGGAAATAGCATACTGCAATGCTTCACCGTAGCAGGTAATAGTAAATTACACTTCTTCATTTTGTTTTTATTAAATAATTTTAATAAAAATTTAAATAGATTCTTAAATTTATAGAGGAATAAATTTTGAAATATTTTATGATATATATGTATGTGTGTGTGTATAAAAAAATTTCAGGGTAGCTGCATGAACCAAAAATTTTAAAAATTATTGTCATACGTTTCGACTTATAATTTTGTGTTATCCTCAGTGGAACTAATATTTATATGGGGAAAGAAATGAAATAAAAATAATGTATAGAAAAGGTATATATAATATTAAGAGAAACTTGCTCTTATACAGGACTATATATATATATCATATTGAGAAAAACCTATATTTAATAATTAGTATCCAAAATTTCATTCAAAAATTGTGTCTGTTACACATGAAATTTTGTTAAAAATAAGTTTTCCTCAGTATTATATTTACCACATATCAGTCTTACTTTATATTATTAGTTTCATAATATCTATTTGAAGATGTACTTATACGTATTATATTTAGTCATATTCTTTTCCTTTATTTATTCAAATTTCAGTTCCACTGAGAATGGCATTAAATTATATGTCGAAACGTCTAGCTACAATTTTTTTATTATTATTAATATGTGTCATCATTTAGCAGTTTTCAAGTAATTAAAAAATATTACATAATCAATAAGAAAAATGACTGAAATATATTTTTAATAAAAATATACAAACACCAGGAAGAACAAAATAACATTGAAACATTTTATAACATTTTAATTACCATTAAAATAATTCTATTTTCATTTTATAAAATTAATTTTATAATTCTTTTAACCTTCTTCCTGGTAACAATTGTTTCTACCCTTTTGTGTAATATTTTGTAAAATTTTAGAACTACCAAATGATTTGTTAATATTTTTTTAATTCGACAAATTGGCAGCTTTATTTGTAAAATATGTAGCATCGTCAAATTTATATATATATATATATATATATATATATATATATTTAATATTTTAACATGTTAAAAGAACTTTGGTAAAAAATGGATTGTACGTCAATACAATACTTATTATGTTTCGTAAATTACTCAATTTTCTCAACTGCACATATACTCAAATTTAAAGTTAAACATTTAAAAAGTTTTTAAAGCGCAAAAGCTGTTACTGAACTATGTAGTTACATTTTATGGAAAAGAAATAATCAACAAAATATCTTTTAAAATTTTATAAGCAGATACTTTGTGACAACTATTTCCGATTCCATCATAAGACTTCTATAGGTAACAGTTACACGATATAAACAAATTCAACACAACATTTATTGTAAGTATGTTAAATAAGTGAAATATATCCCTTGTGCAATCCATCTTTAAAAATTCTATATGTTGTATTATTATGCGACATATAAAACATGAGTTGATTGTGCATAGCTCTAAATGTAAGATAGAAAAAGCTAAAACCGCCACCAAAAAAATATCGGAATGTGTTTATACAGCATATTATGAATATACAATTATATAAAATGATATTATTAAATAATAAATAAATAATATTTATTTATTTATTTATTTAACTCCCATGCCCATGGCTATGAGGGTATGTATATGATGGGTACGAATGAAATGACTATTAGTCCTGGCGCAAGATGGAATCAAAATTGAACAGAATGTTAATAAAAAAAAATTAATAAAACATTATGATTACAAATTTACAAACTATACAATGTAAGTATACCGTATATTTAAAAAAAATCAGCTAAAAACTTAAATATTATATATAAATTCATAAATTCAACACTTAATCTTAAAGAAATATGATAAGCCCAGAAACTGTTTAAAACTATTGTTAGAATGGTAATGAAAAGATTGTTAAATTAAATTAAACATACTTGTAAAATCGACAAAAATTGAAACATGGACAAAAAATTATGAGCACGAAACTGATTGAAGTAATTATTAGTCCTGAAGCTATATAAAAGTAAAATGAAATGCAATGTTAATAAAAGGATTCTTATCAAACCACGATAGAAACCAGATTTTAAAGTTGCGAAATATCGTTATTGACAAACTATCCGTTTTATAATATTTGTAGTTTGTAAGTATTATCAGCAAAAATGTATTATACTATATAAACAAAATTTTGGAACTTAAATATATAATCTTCAATGATTATATATGATGATTTTATTCACACTATGATTTCATCCTATTCTGGTTATCTATTTGTTTACCCATTTTTTTATCCTAAATTTTATTATAATTAGAGAAGTGTAAGTTTTGTTGTAGAATGTAAAATTGATCTTAGTCAAATATATTACATTTGTGAAATAATTCTTATAATGTCTGCTAGTGACTGTCTCTATAAAATAACCAGGACTCCAAAATAGACCATTCGTACAAAACAGTATCCCTTCTTATCCATATTTTTAATGAAGGTGCTGTATAAACACTATCCGCAGGTAAATTGAAGATAAATGAAGAAAACAAGAAATGAAGAAAAGAAGAAGAAGAACAAAACAAAAAAATAATAAACTGACCTGCCATAAAAATTAAAAACTAAGATGGCGCGGTCCCCGGCAATAGTCAAAGTCAAAGTCAAAGGTGAATCAAGCAGCGTACAAAAACACAATCGGAAACCAAAGCACACGGAGCACCGTCTTTGCTTTGAATGGGACGAAATTAACTTTAACTTTAGTATAGACGCGGTGCGAGCGATTTCTGCAAAGACCACAACCTTGTTTTATATGTACACACAAAAATTTTGATGAAAACGAACGAAAAGTTACCAACTTTCAGTGTTGTAATCGACCAGGTATCTAAGTTTCTTACTTAAAAAAATGTTTCTATTATAAAAGACTCAAATCATACGCTCATAGTCAACGCTCCTGATAGGAGAACTCCAGAAGGAAAGGATTAAGTACGGATGATCTCTATGAATTCACGGATAAGCTCTATTTCTGATATGTCTTCATTGCATTTATGACGAATTTTAAATTTTAGAAAAACTCATAAAAAATTTAAGTATTAGTATAGACATTCGGAGTCACTTAATCGAGATATTCTAACAAGGAGAACCTATCTGATGCTATCTAGAATTTTGATAAAACTTGGCTTGATGATAAATATGGTACTCAAAATGACATTCATCAAATATTTAAACCTATAAAAATCGGTTTAATTATAAAAAATAGTTGAAAATTCTAAACATGACAAAAAACAGGTGTAAAAAAAACTATAAGTAAGTATAGCGTACATTTCTAAATTTTATTTAATGTTTATGATTAAACTGATTTTCATAGGCCTCTAATATTTTACGGAGGTCATTTGAGTTCTGAATCTATTCATCATGCCGAGTTTCACTAGAATCAGATACAAGCAAAAGAAGGTTCTCCTTGCAAGTATAAAGCAATGTTGTCTTGTATGGCCAATAATTTGCCATCGATGACATTAATATTTCATTAATCTTTTAAATTAATCAGAATCATAAACGGACTAATCTGAATGATTCACGAATTTTCAAAGGTTCCTACAATTTTCAAATTAATCAGTCTCACTCTCTCGATCAGAACAAATGATTCGAATTTGATTAAATAAAATTAATTTGTATCTAAGAATGAATTACGTTAGATTGCACACATATGAAAACCGTCACTATGATTTTGTATTATTTACAATAATGATCAAATTTATTAGCCACAACATTGATATAATTAGCGCAATTGGTTACAACACTGAAAGTTGATTAAGGGTTAGTATTATTTGCAATAGCAAGGGGTTATTAAGACAACCATATTTGCAACGTCACCATAATTAACATTAAATTTTTTAAAAGCAATTATCATAATATATAATGTAAAACATGTATTCATATCGTAATTATAATTGCACAGTAATTAATGGTTGATATCACACATCACCTAGCCTATAGACAGCGTATTGATTGAATACTATTCAATTTTGTTTTAATTATTAATAAAAATATTTATACATACATGCTTTCTAGTGGACTAAGTTAAGTGATAAAAACCAATAGCGCAATTTAATTTTTAAAACCAAAATCCAATGTACAATTATAATATTGAAAACAAAATTAATAGTAGTGCTGGTCATAATCAATAACATGCCAAAAATGAACTTAAAATGTTCATTAAAAGTACTTTTACGCAAAGGTGCTTTTAATACTAATTTTTAAGATAACTAAATCAACCTATCACTTCATATTATGTGTCTTAAAAAACTACAAAGACTTCCTAAATTACAAAATATATATACATAAATATATACATGCATATATACAGTCTGTCTGACAAGACGTTTTCACAAATATTCAAATTAGCCTATTTCACAATTTTTAATGGCAGCTACCTCAACAGGGGTTGTTTATTGGGAGAATCAAGGATAATATTTACAATAGTGGACGGATAGGAACTAAATCACAACTTCAAAAAGCATTTTGATTTGCCGATTTGGTTCTAGAGTCGGTATGTTCAAGATGCGATATATACAAAACTGCTGCGGCTGTTAACTAAAAGCAAAAAAGCAAACAGTAGGAATCGACATGGATTAAATATTTGATATTATTAAAAAGGTGTCACCTATTAACTATTAGTATCAGAACTAGAAAATATTTTGGAGATCAAATTTGAGTCATGTTCAACATTCATTTCCATTGTATTTAACGAAATTTTAATCATGGCATTTGTTATTAGATCTTATAACTAATGCCATGTCCTAATCTTTGCAAGGACAACATCATCAGAGGCTGGTTATCGACAAACGCTATATTCTTCTAAATTTTATATGCTGGCAAATCTATAACATACAAATTTTTGAAAAGTATTAAGTAATGAAATATCAGTCGGTATTGCATCAAAGAGTAAATAGTTTAGAGTACATAATTAAAAAAAAAACAATTTTTAAAAATGAATCTCATCAATGTTTCTAACGAACAAGCTTGGTGTTGTCCTTGTTAGATTAGATTCTTCAGTACGAGTCTAATATGAAAATGCAAAATTCATGTTCAACATCTCCCAAATTCTGACTCCAAAACATTAAGTAGTTCTTAAACTATATGGACTATGAACACAATGGCGAGTAAACACTGGTATTTACAGAGGCATATTGGAAACTAAAAACAAATGTATTTTTAACTATAAATGAATATATATGGTTTTATATATGTGTGTTTGAATTTTTTGTTGAAAATTTCTTTTCTGAAAACGGCACACACCTTTTCTGGATAACGGGACTTGACATTAATTCTTTTGTCGTTGGGGGATGTCAGGTTGTCGAATTCAAATGTTGGTAGCATTGTTGGCATCTCTGAAGCTTCATCTCCTCTCGGCATCACTGATTATTATTCGAAGTTTTTCATATAGATACAGAATTACTTAATACATTATAAAAAGCAAATATTGAAACAAATTGATTTGTGTATATATACACACTATTAATTAATTGTTTGTATGTATACACATATCGATAAATTCAGTGTGATCATTTGTGCATGTATATATTCAGGTATATAATGTATACAACGATCTTTTTGGATACTACAAATGTTAGAATAGAGATTGTCAAATATCATGCCATTAAAAGAAATTATCAATGTGATTACTTTCTGTGTAATAAATGATAATAAATTCTTACCTAGCAAAACTCTTAAAAGCTGAGCTCTGCGGGTTAATGCAAAGAGGAACTCTTGATGTTTGTAGTTGCTCTGCGATGAATTTGTGCATTTCCTCTGTTATAATAATTAAATCAAAATGTAATGAATAATACATTTCTTGGAAACAAAAAATTCTCATTATCATTTAAACCATGCATTATTCGTCATGATAACAGTAGAAGATAACATGAAAACATTACAGTTATGATACTTCAACTAATTAATGTCTCGTTTAATGTATCTTTATAAATATTCTTCCACAATTATCAAAAAATGTAAGTTACTGAGAACATTAAATAAACAGCTGAATAAGTTAACTTCAATATATACCTTTAACTTGCTGTGTGGCTGTCAATTTCTTCTCCCAGAGGTCGTCAAAAGGTTGTGTGGCTGATGGTTCGAAATCTGTGGTATATTGCCTTAAGGCTGCCGAGGTTGTGTAACAGCATTTGCACATGCAGGAGTGGTACCGCAAACGTCCACCGTCCAGGTATGGATGTGCCAATGCATCGTTTACTGATATACGCTTGTCCTGGAAGAAGAAAATGAAATATTAATTGAAAATACATTTCCTGAAGTTAAAAAAATTAGCATCTGATGGCCAATAAAACTAATACATAGTTGTAAACCATAGCGGTTTTGTTACTACCACTTTATTACTTACTGGGTCGAAAACAAGCATTTGACATAATAAGTGAACAACTTCGTGCGTGGCTTGACTGGACAAGGTGTACAAAGCAGTCAATGAAGGTGGTTTATGAGCCCTGCGAAGCATATGCGAACGAGCCCCCTCGCAAGCATACCGCATATCGTCCAGCGATGGTGTGCCGAGCAGCTCTGTAATCAACTCCAACTGGAAGCAGGACAAAACCATCAATTAGCATACCATATTATCAACTACCTGGTGAACAGATCAATCATTGAATATTATTACCTGTTGGACTGGACTTTGCGCCTGGAACAATATCCTTCTTCCAAGAAGTTCTCCAAAAATGCAACCCACGCTCCAAACGTCAACGGCTGCCGAATAATGTCGGGCACCCATAAGAATTTCCGGAGCTCTATAGTACTGCGTCACCACTTCTTGAGTCATATGTTTGTTCTGATCGGGTTCTTCGACACGAGCTAATCCAAAATCACAGATCTGGAAAAGAAAAAATACTTAGATTCATCAATATATTACTGAAAGAGCATTGAAGAACATATTTTGATTTATTATATTTTTAAGTGATTCAATTCACAGTTTCACCAATAAATGTGGAATTATCCAAAGCTAATCCAAAACATGGTTCGATAAAAAGCGAATGAATAGACTCTATTGTTTCGTTGCGACAAGCTTATAAATAAGACAGACATAACACTGATTATAAATCCGACTAATTCAAAAATAGGAATACATTGTTTGAAAACAATCCAAAAGTTATTATTTATCAAACGTTCGATCATGATTAAGACACGTGACGTTGAACAAAAGAACCTCGTATGATTAAAACATAACAGGGACTGAATTTTGCAACGATGGAATTAAAATTAAATTTCCTAATATTCCAAGCTGAAACTTACTACAATGAAGTTTTTTAAAATTTATAAATTTCTGTTTTTTAATTCTAGCAATATTTTTAATGCATCTAAAATTAATGCATTGTCGTAAGATCTAGTCTAGTCACTTCAAGTCTAGTCTTATTTTAATAAAAATTACTACATATTCCAAATATATATTTTTATAGTTAAAAACAACCTTACCTTTAACACACAATTGCTATTAACTAAGAGATTTCCAGGTTTAATGTCTCTGTGGAGTATTCTTGCAGAATGCAGGTATTTCAGGCCTAGAAAATATAAAAATTAAAATTCAATTTCTATTTTATACAATTATATATTTTATTTATATTTTAATAACTCTATTTCATTTCTATTTTATTACTCTCATTTTCTCGATCTCTATTTTATACAATCCGGATAAAATACATTTGAAATATACACTACCAGGATTTTTTGTCTAAATAAATCTATCACATATTTGTTAAATTTTGCAAAGCAAATTTTATACAGCTGAAATCTTGTGAATTTATTATAATTATATCACTCTATTTCATTTCTATTATATTACTCTTATTTTCTCGATCTCTATTTCATACGATCCGGATAAAATACATTTGAAATATACAAACTATCAAGATTTTTGTCTAAATAAACCTATTAAATATTTGTTAAATTTTGTAAATCATATTTTATACAGCTGAAATCTTTTGAATTTATCATAATTTTATCAACAATTCGTTAAAATAATATAGAATTAATTTAAAACAATACTATATTTATCACTGAAACTATGCAATGGCGTCATGTAAAAGTAATATGCGAAGAAATTGTTGTAATTATGATAAAATAGTTTTATGACGTGATACACATATGACACATATAAATAGTTTGTACTGTTTATAAATATTGAATACATTTCCTGATTAATTAATATATACATATTAGAACTATTATACAGATCAGTAATTTATATGAGATATGGAATTATCAACTAGGTGTGGGTGGTATCATCTATACTTGGATGAATCATGAAAAGGAAAAATTGCTTCCAAAATATGTATTTTTTTTGAAAATCTTAATAATGCATTAATACTCTAATTTATTAATCAATTTTTATATATTATATAAATTCCATTATATGATCATTTCTAGTAAATACAAACATAAAAAAAATTATTAAAAATATATTTTTATTAAAAATATATTTTTATTAAAAATATATTTTTATTAAAAATATATCTTACCTCTCAATATTTGATACAGAAATACTTTAATGTGATCTGCACTGAGATGTTGAGGTGAGACAATGATTTTATGAAGATCTGACTGTAATAATTCGGTTATAACATATCTGTATTTGGGCCATTAAGAAAAATGTTACACAAAAATCCATAGTTTTTAAAACAAATTTCAACTCGAATCGACAAATTGATTTTTAAATGAAAAATGTTTTCGTATTTATTTTATCCTAGTATTTATTTATGCGAGTGACATTTGCGACAAAAAAAATTGACAGAGTTCATCATACTTCTATATTGATATGTGAAAAATTGATTTTAATATCAAAAACTAAATTGATATTGTGTAAAAAATAATTTCATAACAGATTGAAATTCCGTAAATAACTCGCTCAATATAATGCTCAATATTAATTAAGAGAACAAATAAACGTGTCACATAAGACAGATACTAATTAATAAAACGTCTATCAAGCTATCATTAGCAATTATTCAATTATGTAAAAGGATACATTTCTTGAAAGAAGTCTAAATGAGGTGGTTGCAGAATATCTAGGGCGGAGAGGACCTGGAAATAAAAAAATGATTGATATTTAATTATGTTTGCTAGCAGCAGTAAGAATAATTGAACTAATTAAAGAAGATTTATTTTTAATTTTAACCTAATTTATTTATTATAAAAATATTGTTTATCTTCTCGGTTTGCTACTAATAATACTACACTTACAAGTTAGTAATGATACCATAAACAGTTTCGACAGTTTTAGTAAAAGTACTATTGATAGTACAGAGATACAATAGTACTATTAATAGAGGCGATAGTTTCTTTATGGTAGTAAGTGTAGTATCTTTTATAATACTTGGTACTATGATACAATAATACCTACTATTTATAGGAACTATAATTTCATTAATAATGGAGAAGTACTATTGATGTGAGTATGACCCAATGGTGACTCTGATAGTAAAAAATGTTTTATTTTTAGGAAAAGTGCTCTATTTGATAGAACTATAATAAGTACGATTGAGAAGGATAATAGTTTGAATAATATTAGTAACAATATTAATCCTAGAACTATATTGGAAAGGTGAAAGTGCTCACAAATGATATTGCTAGTAAAAAAAAATGAAAGAGGTAAAAGCACTATTTATAGTACTATATTATAATAGTACACATGCAAATTCTCGTCGACGATTTCGGGAATACCGATCAACCGATTTGAATAATTAAAAAAAAATCGATTCGTATTGATAAGGGGACGTGCTGATTAATTTTTGGCGAAGGCAGATCTAGCCGTTCCGAAGATACGGGACAAAAAGTGCCAAAAACGGTAACTCAGTTTTTATGAGAACGGAGCGACCGATTTTGATAATTCAAAAAACATTTTACTGATTAACTGATTAAATTTTTGGGAAGGCAGGTCCAGCGATTATGGACTCTCAATATGTCCATGTCAAAAAAATGTCATTTGGTAGTCAAAAATGTTTATTGGACATATGTACATTAAATTATCAGATATTTTATAGAGATTTTAATAATTTGTACAGAGTTTGTGTAAATTTTTTGGGGTCCGTACCAAGATTTTTAATTACGGTACGGGAAGTTCCAGCAATTTGCCTTAAGGCACCTTGCCATGCTCTCCACTAATTGGTAGGAGTATCATAGTACTTGGTTAAAGTAGCGTTATTGGCAAAATGCACATTTTTATTGGTAGAAGGTACTGCTGATAGTAAATACAATTTTATTGAAAAAAGTAAAAGTGTTATTGGTAGTACAAGATATAAGTACCTATTATTTTATATTATAAGTTATATTAATTAATTAATTATCGTAGCTCGAATAATCTTAAAATGTGACAATAATGTCCATAATGGAAAAAGTCAATAAGATTCTAATTGCAAAAAAATCTTATGTTTCGCTTTCAGTAACGTTATCAGCACAGTGCTGATAGTATAGATTTTATTGCATTTTTCATGGGTATTTAAGGGGACAAAAATAAATCAATATTTTAGAATCCATCGATAAGAAACATAAAAAATCAGAACGAATTTGCGCTTTATCAATATTTTAGTACTCCATTTAAAAACTTTTCGAATTTTTCTAATATATATTACATGTTAGTAACAATTCCGTGAGAGTGTAGCGTTCTTTAAACGTTTCTCGTATTCACTTGCCGTGAACAACTTTTCCATTTATCTACGTTTTTTAGCTCCTTTTTCTTTATAAACTACTTTTATTCTTTTGACCCCGACAAAAGGATAGAACTGGTTTGAAACCACCATTGTATGGGTGAGCAAGCTTGTAACCAAAAGGCTGGGCTCACACTTCGAAAATATTAATCATTACTTATTATTTATTTATTTAGGAAACCTGAATGGAAATATAGTAAAAGATAGTGAATACTTAATTACAATTCATTTTAAAACCAAAACTATATCCTGAGAAAGTACTACAGTTTCAGATTTTCTTAGCCAAAAGATTTTAGCAGATCTGATATACTCAACCAACCGCATAAGGCAGAACCAAGTTCCCTTTCTACTCTCAAGTCCTACTACTAATACAAATAATATTTTTAAATATATCTTTTACCATGTGGCCCAAGCCTAATTCATGTACATATTGTGGTTTGTACATAAATCTTATGTATTAGTAAGCATTTATTCATAAGAAAGATGTATGTGTGGACATTGTGATATACGAGATCAAGATCAAGACTGAAGGAAACCCATGGCTGTAGAAAATACTTGGGTGATAATTTTATAGACGCGTTCTAGGAAATTGACATACTTGCTGTAAACTTTGGATGGGATTAAAAAATTCAAAAGTTTTAATAGGATTGATAATTGTATTACTTAATTTAATAGAAAGGCGTTTAAATTTGAAACACAGTAGTAATCGAAATGTAGAAGTTGAAGCTAAGACTCAAAACTTCATTTTGTATCATATATTTTGATAATATCTAGTAGAAATTGAAAAATCAGTTTAACAGTTTTTTTTATTAAAAAAATCCTCGAATTTGCAAAAATATAAAAATTCTAATCCACAAATATGATCATTAAAAATTTGCAGTTTATAATATATTGCTATTCTATGAGTGATTTTATTAAATAAAGCTTATATTAAATGATTTCTGAACTAAGTTGCAAGTAAAATTTCATTGCACATTCGTCAGAAGTAAAAATTTTCGATTAAATTTTCGAGTACTATTACAGAGTCTATTATTATCACATATTGATATCATTAAAACAATAACGAAATTCGTATACAATTTTATTTGGATAAAAATGTTTAATTTTTCATTGACGCAATTCATCTACGTCATGCACTAATCCTTTACGTTTATTGATGTAATATTAGTTACGAAAACTAAATGCAATATATGTATTACAAATTAAAAAAATAAATAAAATCGACTTTTGGACTTACATTTTTTCGTGTTTGAAGAAGCAGAGCATTTTGAGTTCCCGGAACACCCTTTTCGACGACACCAGGGATTGGAAAACATTGGGTAATTTCTTGAGGGCGACTCGCCTTCCGTCTCTGGGGTCTGTTACAGCCCTGTAATAAAAAAAATATAAATGAAAATATTGTTTTTGATTTCTTGGGAATAATATAAATAAAATTTGATAATAAACATTGGTGAAAGGTATTAATAATGGTATTAATAATGCCTTTCACCAATTGATAAACTGTATACATCGATCAATGCTATACAAATTGTGAATTTTGCGAATAAGATAAACTAAACTTATTTTTATAAATTAGTCAGATGCCTGAACTGATTGTTATCATCTTTTCCAATTATTGATAAAGTGATAGAAATCTAGCATGTCAGTTAGTAAATTAGAGAAGTAATTGCCATCACAAGCTTTCTGTTCTATAGACTATTGGTAATTAATAGTATTTTATTAAGATATTCACTAATAGTAAATTTATTTATCATTTATATATAATTAAAGATAATTTATTAATTAGAAATTGATTGGAAACAACTAGAAAACTAGAAAAAAATCTGTGATATTTAAAATTTGTAAATACAACTTTATATATAGAGCAAAATACATTTTCAAGACCATAACTTTAGTTGCGATGTGTTAACAACCCAGCATATACAATTTGTATTATATACAGAAATATTTTCCCTGCCTTTTCTTTCATTGAAAGCATATATTTCACTATTGAACCTATTTCTGTATTGATCGCCATCACCTACTGTTTTATAGGTTCCTTAATTAATTCGGCCCATGCTATAAAAATAGCGCCCGAAAACCCACAAATTCATGCAGACTGCCTAAACACCAGCCGTGATTTGTTACTTGGGAATAATGTGCAGACGATCGATACAAATTGATTTGTGTTTATAAAAAAGCGAAATATATCGAGAAATTCAATTAAATCGACGCATGTGGCCTGATATATTGTAGAGCATCGTTCAAAATCAATATAAGGCAATTTATTTAAAACAGCTTGCATAGGAACTTGCGCAACCAGTTTAAGCAAATATAATGGTTCACACGTTGGATTTAATAAAAATAATATATATATATATATATATATATATATTAAAATTTTAATAATTTTGATGTTGAGATATGTGAGATTCAGTCTTCAGGGCAATACAACAATTAAAAAATTGTATGAACTTATAACATTTTTATTGTTTCCATGCGTTTCGACACGTAGTTTTGTGTCATCTTCAGTGGACTCTAGTTTGAAAGCACAGATAAAAACTGGCGAAACTGGACAGCATCTAAAAAAATATCTTAGACAACATTATAACAACTCCAAAAATAAAAATCAAAATCAAACAATGATAACGGACCACATCCAAAGTTTCAATCATATTTTCAATTTTAATGTTGCTACAATTTCATATCACGAGTCGAATACATCGCAGAGACGCTTTTCAGAATCATGCTTCATACATCTTTATAAAAATAGCATAAACAAAAGTGTTGATACTTCTTCACTATGTGAGAATTACCAAGTAGTTTTAAACAATGTTTCGAAGTTCATGCATTTAAAATAATTACCTGATTCGATTTTTTAATTATATTAATTTTAATTTTATTTAATTTTTCTTTTTCTTTTAATTTTTATCTCATATATATATATATATATATATATATCTTGATGATTTTTTGTTCGACGTTGAAACATATTGAAATGAATTCATTTCAATATATATATATATATATATATATATTCTTTCCTTCAATTTTTAATTAATTTTAGTTTTCCGAAAATAGTATTTTGCAAACAGCTGTAGGCTTCCCTTCGCCACCCCAAAGAGGCGCGCCCCATTATGAAGTATGAACTCCGTCATTTTTTGAAGTTTTGTAGAATATGTTCCTTACAGTTGACAAAAATATATAAAAACTGAAAAAAGACAATGTAAATATGTTAGGTACTTACAAATTACTTTATGTATATATGCCTTTAGGTTACCAATGAATATAAGTGTATGTAAATATACTATGAAATTAGCACTGTATGTGCGAGGTGTATTTAAAGATCGTTATACAATTAGATCGATGCTGTCTGCTTAGTAAAAGATAACACATCAGAATGAGACATTGTACAATCATTAATTTTCAGAAAATGTACTATGCTCTCTATCGTTAAATATATTTAGCTGTCACTTCTCCTCGTTTACTAGATAATTTGCATTCTCTTATTAAAATAGTATTCTTATTCCGGTAAAACGGCGTAGGCACGCACATTTCCAGCGTCCTTATTTATATCATGACATATATTTATGAGTTGTGCATTATTAACGTGATTAAATATTGATCGTTAGCGCACGTTGATATCGTTTATAGAAACACGTGTCTCGGACAATGTGACAATATTACGAGACTACGCAATTTTATTGCGGAATTATTATATTATTCGCAAGGAAAATAAAAGAATAGATTTAGCATGCTGATAAAATGGTAATAACGAAAAAAGCACGTTTTTTTTTATATTAAGTCCGAGATTAATCGTCGTAGAATTAACTTGATATTATATATTGTATATATAGCCAATCAAGTGGTTTCGCACATATAACAAAGTAATGAAAAAATACTTTTCGCTTTGTAAATTAGCTTGTAGTATATATAGGTTCGCTTTCCAAATTAGCGATAACAATTAATAATCAAACAATTTTTTTCGTTTTAAAATATTCCACCTTCTATTTTATTTCATGAAAAGGGCCGCACTCGAAAGTAAAAATGACGTCAGTTTGAGTAAATATAACCCATTTTTATGGAGTTATTAGCACTTTATTATCAGATCCGCAATACAATGGTATCTCAAAATATATTTTAAAGGTGCTTGATCACGTAATAAAACAATTTATAGGGCTATAGAAATTTCCACTTAGTGTGTATATACGAATTACATGAGCATATATTTTTACTATTTATTTTTATTAAACGTAAAATTTTAAGGGGCTTTTGAGATGGCGGTGGGAATAAAAACTGGGAAACAGGTGTATTTCTGTGGCGTTAAATTTTGTTGATATAAGTATTTCATAAATCCCAGCACTTATATATATACACACACATATATATTAATTTTCTAAAGTCAAAAAAGGCAAAGCAAACCCCTTTCTATATGACGTGGTTGGTTGAATATATTAAATTTGCAAAGAATCTTTTGACAGAGAGATTCTGAAAAGTTAGCACGAACTCATCACAAAGTCTTGAAATTAAAACGAAACTTGAACGAAGAAAATTATCGCTATGTATAATAAACGTGTGAAACGCGCGTAAAATTACTAATAAAAAACTGTACGGATTAAAATGCATACATTAACAAGACAAGTTTTTAATATTGACCTGATAAATTGATTCTCGAAAGGTAATTTAGAAACTAGAAAAGACAGGTAAACTAAAAACTACACAGGTAAGCTATAACAGTGATCAAAATTTGGAAGATTTTAGAACATAACTCTATATATAAAATATAATTTTTAATCAAATATTCCCAACCATCGTGTGGGCGTGCAGAGAGTTTTTCTTGTACGTTTCATTTTTCTTTTCATTTTCTTTCATCGTACATTAAGCGACATCATTAAGCAAACATGATTAAAAATTATTTTCTTTTAGGAGCTTGGCCGCACTGACCTTCTTAAACGCGATAAATTTTAATTAAATTACTATATGAATATAAAAGTACGCCACAAAATTGCTTGCGGTTTATGAAGTTCGCGGAATCGAATGAAAAATCTGGAGAAATGAGATGAAAAACTTAACTAGACTGGGTATGAAAGTTGGGACAATTAAATGAGTTCAAATTTCCAGGAAAATCAATTTTAAAGCTTCAGCAATTTTAAAGGAAAACATAG